GAGGACGAGATTGCCCAGCTCCGGGCCAACCTCACCCTCTTACGCCTTCAGCCACCCCCACCCTCACAAGTGTTCGCGCCTTCCGGTGCGCCCCCTACCTCCTCTACCCTTCCTCCCATGCAGGCTCGCTTTCCGCGCCCTGCACCCTATACAGCTCCTTCCTACCTTCTTCTTACTCCCGCGGTTGCTGCAACCTCTTCTACCGCAGCACCCTCGCAGCCTGCCGATGTTGCCACCGCCGCTCCCCCATGCGGCCCGGGCGCACAGTCAGCTGCGCCCCTTTCTCCAGGACCTGTGCCGACTTACTCAGTCGAGGCACAGGCCTCCGCTCCTCGATCCCCTCGCTGCCAAAACGGTGGCGCACCACTCATCCGCTTGTCGTACATTCCCTTGTATGACAGTACAGGCATACGCGTGTCTAGGTGGTTGTAGTCTGTTACCCGCACACTCCAGCTCATGGGCGCCACACCCGACACGTGGGTGGGTCACCTCTACACTCGCCTGCGTGGTGCTCCTTTCAACGCCTGGGAGGATTTCTATGCTTACTCCCTGCGTGAGGGTCGGACTCCGACCTTCATGGATTTCCACGCGTTCCTCGAGGATCGGTTCGAAACCCGATATGACGTGACTGACGCCTTCGAGCGTGTCATCACTACACGCTGGTCCGGCTCTGGTGTTGCTGCCGGCCTGGATCGCCACATCCAGGTCTTTCAGGACGCCCGCCTCGTTTGCGACGTTGCGTTCCTCCCCGAGGCTGCCCTTATCGATCGTTTCCTGGCCAGCTTTTTGCTCGAGTACCGCTCCGAGCTATGGCGGTACAAGTTCACATCGGCCCCACAGGCTTACGACCATCAGCGGATGCGAGCCCGTCTTCACCGCGCCTCCTCCTCCCAGCCACAGCGCACGGGCTACGCCGCCTCCTCTCACGACACTTCCCAGCGTCGTTCCTCTTTCCGCGGTCGCCCCCCCCATTCCACGCAGCAGGGCCGCCACTTCTCGCGCCGCTTCAGGGCGCTGGAGTATGGTGAGCAGGACGTTGTTGCCCCACTGTCACCTAAGAACAACCACAACGACGACCTCGATCTCTGCGAGGCCGTCCACTATCACTTGGAGGACTCTACCCTTCCTGCAGCTGAGCGCCTTCAGCTCGCGCTCTCCGCCCTCTCTCGGGCACGCAGCCGCCCCGATCACGCTGGCACATCGCCCTCCGGGGTCCCTCAGGAGGACCTCCCTCAGGGCTTCATCCGTCCTCATGGTGTCCTTTCCCCTGAGGAGCGCGCAACTATTCTAGGCCGGCGTGGGTGTTTGCGCTGCCGCTTGGTCGGTCATACCTCCTCGCGGTGCCCTTACACTACCGCCCTCGACCGCCACTACGCTGACCTTTTTCGTCAGCGTCGTGCTCAGTCCCCCCCCCGGCGCCTCACGTCCCCGCGGCGCCTCCTAGCCAAGATGCAGTGTACACCTGCGCCCTCCTCAGTAGTGGGCTTCCCGACATCTCCGTCGCGGTTCGCCCCTCTCGCTACTGGAGTTGAGGTATCGCAGGACTCGACAGAGTGTACTTAGCCCTCTGTCGCAGTACCGTCTGCGCCTCCGCAGACCACCGTCTCCCCTCCTCCCCCGCCGCGACTACCGACGCGTCGAGCCATTCGCTCAGCCCGTTGCAGCGAGCAGCTTGCTACTCGCGAGGACGTTGTGTCCTCTCTTCTGGACTTGAGCATGCTTCAGGCTCGTCAGGAGCGATTCATCCTCCATGTCGCTGCACCGCGTCGCCTTCTCGCCATCCTCTCTGACCCTGATCGCACCCTCCCGATCATCCCCGTACGACTCGGGACCTCCACGAGGGTGTACTCARCGCTGTGGSATTYCGGTTCTCARRGCGAYTTMRTTCACCCACGHRTGGTGAAGRAARYCCRCTTACCCACGACAGGGTCTCCGACTCCCATCTCCGTTACCCTAGGGGATGACAAGACCYAGCGCTTCTTCGATCAGACGGTCACCGACCTCCCCTTCTTCCTCACTCTCGAGCCGACTGAGCGTTCCCCGGCGTCTCGTCGCCACAGCTCCTCTGCACATTTCGATGTGATGGACACGGGGTACGACTTCATTCTCCTCACTCCGTGGTCTCGTCGGATCCGCAGACCCGAGGCCGATTGGGCGACCGACACTCTCGTTCTCAAAACGAAGTATGGACAAATTTATCGCGTACCTGTCATAGGTACCATGGCGACACAACGCCCCGATCCTCCTCCCCCGGAGCCTTCAGTGCCCACACCATCTCCCTCTATCACTGTCACCTCGCCTCGGCAGTTCGCGAACTTCATTCGACAGGACAACATCACCTTCTTTATGGTGGACGTGACGAATCTCTTACACTATGATCCACCCTGTCCCGACGCCGAGCTCATCCCTCTGCAGCCAGATCCTCCCTCTATCTCCATGGCTCTCATCTCTACTTCCGTCCCTCCGCCGTCCGTCGAGTCCACCCCGCCGTCGCGCGCTGACGCTGACGCTGAGGAACTCGCACAATATACGGCTGACTTGGAGCCCGCAGTTCGTCACCTCATCCGAAAGTACCGCGACATTTTCCCATCGTCGTTCTGGTACGCCTGCATCCCACCGATGCGTGACGTTGAGCACTCCATTCAGCTTGTGCCTGACTATCGTGTTCACCACCAGGCACCCTACAGACTCTCGATCCCCGAGGCCACCGAACTCAAGCGTCAGCTCAGGGAGCTACTGAGACTGGGTTTCATTAAACCCAGCAACTCCCCGTGGGGTGCACCCCTCCTCTTTGCTCGCAAAGCGGACGGAACTCTCCGTCTCTGCATCGACTATCGCAGTCTCAACCGCTACACGGTTAAAAACAGTTACCCCATGCCTCGTTCCGATGAGCTGTTCGACCGCCTAGCAGGCAACCGCTTCTTTACGAAGATTGATCTTCGTAGCGGTTACCATCAGATCCGCGTCGCTGCAACCGACCAGCCGAAGACAGTGTTCCAATCGCGCTTCGGCCACTACGAGTTTACGGTGATGCCATTCGGCCTCACCAATGCACCCGCTACCTTTCAGAGGGCGATGAACGACATCTTCGGGGACATCCTGGAACAGTACGTTCTCGTCTACCTCGACAATATCCTGGTCTACATTCGTAACCTTGAGGAGCACCTCAGACACCTTCGCGACGTCCTTGACCGCTTGCGCAGACATGGCTTCTACGCCAAGCTTAGCAAGTGCCGCTTTGCCCAGCACAAAGTGGATTTCTTAGGACACTACGTGTCTGACCAGGGTCTCCACATGGACGACGCGAAGATCACTGCTATATTGCGGAGTGGTCCGCCCCCACATCCGCCAAGCAGCTTCGCAGCTTCCTAGGCCTGACCAGCTACTATAGTAACTTCATCCGGGGATACTCTATCGATTCCTACGTCCTTACCTCCACCCTCCTCCGGAAGAACCCACCCTGGGCTTGGACACCCCTCCACGAGAACGCCTTCCGCGCCCTCAAGAAGGCGGTGACATGCACACCGGTTCTTCACCTACCCGATTTTGATCGCCCTTCTACCCTTACCACCGATGCGTCAGACTTTGCTATAAGAGCAGTGCTTTCTCAGGTCTTCCCCTCCTCTCCTGATTCCTCTCATCCTCGTATCCCTCGCTTCCCACCACCTACCCCTACCACTGCTTCCCGACTGACGCCTACTCGTCCAGCTACTGACGACTATTCTCCTACCATCGCCGAGGACAGCACTGTCGAGTCTCGCTCAGGTGATTGTCCGATAGCCTTCTTCTCCCGTCAGCTCCTGCCCGCCAAGATGAACTACACTGTTGATGAACGTGAGGTTCTCGCAGTAGTTTATGCCGCTCGGCACTGGCGTCACTACCTGCACGGGGCACCATTCATGGTGCGCACGAACAACTCTGTTGTCCAGGCTTTTCTGACAAAGCCGAAGCTCACTCCTCGACAGGCTCGTTGGTGGCGCGACCTATCCGAGTTTAGTTTCACCACTGAGCACATCAAGGGTGAGACTAATCGGGTCGCAGATACCTTATCCCGGCACCCTGACCACGACCAGTCTCGGTCACCACCGTCCACCACTCGGTGTTCGACGAGTTTCGCACTCAGTACTGCCACTGCCCCGACTATCGCGACATCCACGCGACCCTTCGGAGTGGCAAAACCGTCCCGAATTACTCTCTCGGGGACAGCGGCCTTGTGTACTGGCACGGTTCACAGGGCACCAGAGAGCATCGTATTTGCGTTCCCTCCGCTGGACAGCTACGTGTACGAGCAGTAGCAGAGTTCCATGACCAGGCAGCCGCCGGTCATATGGGCTTCCGCAAGACGTTGGCTCGTGTGAGCCGCCTGTACGTCTGGCCGAAGCGCAAGGACTTTGTGAAGGACTACGTCGCAGAGTGTCCCACCTGTCAGGAGGTGAACAGTGCGAACCACCTACCTTATGGTTTGCTCCAGCCTCTTCCTATCCCTGCGGGTCGTTGGCAGTCCATCTCGATGGACTTTATCGGTCCTCTTCGTCCTCCGACCCCCCGCGGTCATGATGCTATCCTGGTTGTCATCGACCGCTTCACGAAGCGTGCACGCTTTGTTCCGTGCCGCTATGCCATTAGTGCATGTGAGGTCGCCGACATCGTATTTGACCGAGTCGTGCGTGACCACGGCTTACCTTTGAGCATCATATCTGACCGTGACCCGCGCTTTACCAGCCGATTCTGGCGACGGCCCCACGAGGTGTACGGCACTCAGCTCCGCTTCTCCTCGTCTTACCATCCTCAGACTAATGGTCAGACCGAGATCACGAACAGGACTCTCAGGGATATTCTCTGAAAGATTGTTCGTGACGACCAGCAGTGGGACCTCCATCTTGCCCACGCGGAGATAGCCTACAACCACGCCGTCTTGCTAGCCACGGGGATGTCGCCTTACTATTGTGACCTCGGTTATCACCCTCGTGTTCCTGCGGACTTCCTTCGACAGTCACAAATGCACCCCGACACGAACTGTCCCGCACTGGATGATTGGGTTGCACACATGACGTCGATCATGAAGACCGCACATGAGCACATAGCCGCTTCCCAGACTCGCATGGCAGCACATGCGAACCAATCGAGGATGGACCACCCATTCAAAGTTGGTGATAACGTGCTTATCGACGCCCGCCACTTACAACTCGAAGCGGACACGCTTCGCAAGTTTAGGCGTCGCTTCTTTGGCCCATGCCGCATCCTCCAGGCCGTCGGTTCTGATACGGCATTTAGCCCGGTCAGCTTCCGTGTGAAGCTGCCCGACTACCTACACCAAGCTCGTGTGCACGATGTCTACCATGTCTCGTTACTGCGTCCTTACCGCAGACCGTCTGAGCGTTTCACTGGACGACCATACGAGCGCCCTCCACCCATCACGGTGGATGGCCACGAGGAGTTCCTCGTTTCAGACATCATTGGTCGCCGAGTCACCGACGACAACCCTCCCCACGTCGAGTATCTCGTACGTTGGAAAGGTTACCCTAATGAGGAGGCTACCTGGGAGCCCCTCGAGCACTTGCAGCATGCTCGCATGTTGGTGCGTGCCTATGACCGTGCTCGTCGTGCTGGGTTCACTGCTCCTCCTCAGCCCACTGACCCTCTTCCTTCTCCCCCGGCTGAGGAGATCGCTGAAGTCGAGCCTGCTCCATCTGAGGCAGACCTTCAGCAGCAGTCGGATGCTTCTGAGCGTCCACAGCGCACTCGTCGTCGTCCTGCTCGATACGACGTTACAACTCTTCCTCGACGACATTCCGGACTTCTCATCGTGAACGTCATCGGCAGCTTCATGGACTTTATCACGATCAGCTCTGCCTACTTTAGACGTCGCCACTCTCTTACCACTCTACCCTGTACAGTACCCTGCTTCTGCCGCATGATGGTCTCCCTTTAGCCGGGTTCCTCTGAGTTGGGCTCTCCCTTGGTATACGCATAATTATCGGGACCGTAGCGATGCCCTGGCTTCCCATCTTACGGATCTAGCTCCGACTTGCCCAGCTTAGGAGTCATCTGCATGATTCCCTTACCCATCACCTTCCTACCCTCTTCCAACCTTTACGCCCTAGTTAGGCAGCCCCGCATGCTTCATCTAGGTGCGCCCAGTATACCAGGCTCCCTTGTTCCCGTGCATGGTCGACCCTCCATAGCGGTCACCCCTTAGCCGAGCTTTACCCGCCCTGATGGTCTATCAGTTAGGGTCATTGGTTCTGTTCACTCCCAGTTCCCTACCCTCATTGAGCCTGATGACATGTGTTTTCCCCTGTCACGATGTGTGGATGCCCTTAGGAGTTTTCGACCCCTAGGCTACATTCGCCACCCTCAGAGACCATCCCACCCTTTGGTTTGCGACACGCTTCTCATATGACATTTGCTTGTCTTGTTGATTGCTTTGATGCTCTCAGACTGAGGCTGCTGCCTCCGACATTTCTAAGATTTAGTTGTTCTGATTTTGCTATTCTTAGGACTTATACACTCGTCAGTTGTTACCAGACTGAGGCTAGTGCCTCCAACATTCTAGGATCTAGTTGTCACTACTTTCTGCTTTCCTAGGACATGTATGCTTGTTAGTTGCTTTTGCTTTCCTAGGACATGCATGTTAGTTAGTCGCTTTTACTTTCACTTAGGCTGTTAGTTGTGACAATGTTGTTTTGTGACATTTTATATCCTAGGTTGCATCGCATGGACTCAACTCGGAGCTTGCTCCGCATCCTAGACTACTCGGGTTTTCTTTTCTTTGGTAGAGTTCCGCTTCTTGGCGGAAGCATGTTTGTATCTAGGCGATCCATCACAGGCCGAGGATCGTGTAGCGGACCTCGGGTTGGCCTGTGAGACCAGCCCCTTGGCCTGTTCTCACAGGCCTGTGCTGTATTTGGGGTAGGCCAGTCCAGGCCGGTACCTCTGTCGGTACCAGCCAGTC